GAAGAAACAACTTTGCTCTAAATGTTATTGCAGAGGGCAGCACCACAGCAACACCGTGCTGCCATGCTGGGCTAAAGGGGTACAAGCTGAGTCAGTTCCAGGTCAGGGGAGGTTTTTATCAGGGAGCTGGTGCAAGCTGCTCTTAAAAGTGAATCTGCTCCTTACTCCATTCTGTGCAGCTACAGGGCGGGCACCCCGAGGTTCCAGGAGCATCATGTTCCTGCCCGGCAGGGTCCCGCTGCGAGCCAGCTCGCATCCACGTGGAGCGGCTCCTGCTCCTGGAAGGCGATCGGGAGGTGGAGGTGGTTGGTGGCTGTCACTGCAGCGCGTGGCCCGAGGAGTGTCTGCGTCTCCCAGCTCTGAAAACGTTCTTTCCAGACTCTCCCTGGGAGGTCACGGTTGATGTGGGGAGATGCTCTGAGCCGACCTACAGTGCAGGTATGGGGATGGTGGAGGGCCCCTCTTCCAGGAAAAAAGGGACGAGTCCTGCTGTGTGGTCAGCACCCTTTCCTGCAAAGTCAGAGCTTACAGCAAGGTCCATCGGCACCCAAGTCTGCCACGCAGAGCCTCTGATTTACAGGGGGAGGGGACTCTATTTTGAACTTGGTTTTTCCTTTCCATTCTGTCGCTGTGCCCTTACAGCACAGGTCTGCAAGTGCAGTGCCAATTCCTTCCCCTATGCATGGTGTGAGGATGGGAGTGCAATTACTTTATGGTCCAAGGAAGTGCACTCTAATGATGGACTTGAAGGGACCTTGGGAGTCTCTGCTCCAAAGAAAGCTTCAAAAGCTTGCTTCAAAGCAAAAAACAACAGTGTGATGATTAAAAACTGTGAAACAGAACACTTAGAAATGAAGTTTCTTTTTTGACATTCTGAAATGCACTTTCATCTTGGCACTAGTGAACTACACTCATGTTTCAAAAATCATTTGGAAATGGAAATTCCAAACTAAATCATTCCAAACAAGTCAAAACCTTCCACTGGGATAAAGCTGAGTCAGTCCATTTTGAATTGGGGGCTTTCTTGCAAGTTCACACATAAAAGAGTGTCACGTCAGTGGAACTGAACCGATCCTTTTTTATCAGGATGAAAAGTCATTTAGAAATGCTTTTCCACAACTCCTTGATAAAAAAACAGTTCCCGTTGAATTTGTTGAAGTTGTTTTATTGGCTTTTTGGCATGTAAAACCATCCATTTACAACCTTCCAGGCAGCTCTTGTAGCAGGGCTGCACAGCAGCCACTAGAGAGGGATAGAGATCGATGTGAGTCCTGGTGTCAGCTAGGAAGGCAGCCCAGGGGCCTGATCCAGAGGGGCTGGGGAAGCCAGGTGGGTGGCCAAGAAGCCAAAATGCAGAAGGGCTGTGCTCGTGGATGAAAACGATAATTATTCTTCCATCCTTTGTCATCCCTCCTAAAGGAAGGATCTGTGAAGAGGGGCACTGTGGTCCCACAGCCTTGTGTAATCTGGCAACAAGACACAGCAAGTGGATCATTAGGCAGCGTGAAGTGCTTTTTTCCAGGGGTGGGAGAATGAGCACAGACATTTACTTCCTAAATGTGTGACTGGAAGGTGCTGGACAGGGGCAGTTGTCCCCAGGGTTGCTAATGGATGGTGGCTCATTCAGTGATAATGGCCCAGGACTGGGAAATGTGGACTCGCCCTCGGCTTTGCCTCTGCCCCAGGGCAGGTCTCGGCACTTTCCTTCTCGATTTCCCCCCTGTAAAGACAGGCTGAGGTTTTCAGCGTTGTGTTACAGACTGGCAGCAGCAGAGGAGGGGGTCCTGGAGAAGGGTGTTAAAATCTCACCCAAAAACGCTGGTTCCCAGAAATCAGTCATGGTCTTATGTTCCCCTCAAAGCATCCCAGAGACTTGCGGTCAGAAACTCCTGTTCGCTCCCCCAAAAACACAGTTGCATCCTGGACAAAGAAATGTCCTTCAGGAGCTGATGGAGGGGGTAGGAAACTCTTACAGCCATTTTAGAGCTTGGAACCAGATGCAAACCCTGTAGAACCTGCACCCACAGGGTACAGGGCAAGACAACTGCTTAGAGACAAAAGCCCAAAATGACCCCTGTGTCAAGTTAACCATCCTTCACTGCCTGTAGCACATGAAATGGAAATTTTAATTCTAATTTACTTGCTGAGGGAGAGAAAAGCTGGGATGTTCAGCAAATAAACTCTTTTTTTTTTTTGTCAGAAAATACATTCAGACTGAGCTCCATGGGACAGTCTGTGCCTGTGTCCTTTAAGCTGTTGTTTTCTGGAGGAGCCTCTCCTCCCTCTCTCTCCTCTCCAGCTGCAGAGCCGAAGAGCCGATGCTGCAGGGACAGAGGGACAGGGATGCTGCGTCCTGACCCATGGGGTAACAGCAGTGAAGACACAGGCGTGCAGCCTGTCTGCCCAAACCCCTCTTTGCCTGCTCTCTGCAACAAGAGCGCTGTGGGCATCCTTAAAAATCACACTATGCATATCAAACTGAGACAATTTTATTTTTTATTGCACAGTGCATTTTCCATTGAATTAAGGCTTGAATACGGAAAGAAAAGGGGAAGCAGGACTCAATCTGCATCTGCAGGGGGTGTTTGGCCCCTTCCCCTCCTGTGGCCAAGCAGGGCAAGAGCAGCTGCAAATATTTTGGGGGGAAGCTGAGTATTTTTGTTTCAGGGAACTGGGAAGCAACTGGTCTGTCTGAAAGGCTCGGGGGAAGGTGGGCTCTGGGGGGATACGAGCCAGCCATCAGCCTCACAGCAAAACCCCATCCTGGGCCGTGCTAGGAGGAAGGTGGTGGGATGCAGGGATTACTCCAGGGCAGGAGAGACGGTGGCACTGGGCTGGCCAGGAGGTGGTGGGGTCAGGGACCTGTGCTGGGCACAGCAGCCCGGTGAAATCCAGAGGAAGCTGAATGAGTAAATGTCAAATGATGCTCCCCAGCTCCCTGGTGTGAGAGGATGTCTCTGGAAAAAGCTCTGCCATGAATATTTTATGTTCAAAGTCCTTCTTTCTCACAGATAAAATGTAATAGCTCATGCTGGCTCCCCAGGGATGTGGCTTGTGCAGGTTTCACAATTTCTACCCGGAATGAGCTATCTCTGCCCTGTGCTCTGAAACTGAGAGGGCAGAACAAAACCTATAGCTGAAGCCCCGAGCTGGTGGAAGAATGAGCCCCAAAATCTTAGCTGGGGCCCCTCACATGGAAAACCAGCACTTCCCGTGCTGGATGCCAGAACCACACAGCGAACACATAGATGGCAAGGATGCTGCAGTTGTGATGGCCTCCGAGACAGCCCCAGATTAAATTTCTGTCTTGTTTCCTTGCAGGTAGCCTTTTCTGCATGCCCACAAAGTTCAGCACTGCCCTGGTCAAAAATCCAAGTGGTGGGAAGGTGGTTCAGACACTGGAGAGCTGCGAAATGAAGGAGAAATGCTATCGTGTTTCCCAAGTGGAATATTATTATGAAATTGTGCACAGCTCCACAGGACACAGGGAGAAACGGCTCAAGGTTGGTCCCTGCAGCTTGGTCTCCTCTGCCATGGGCTCAGCTCTGCGGGGTTTAAATAACCCCAGGCTGCTCTGCCATGGGCAGCTTCTCCCAGGAATGTTGAGCAAAACCTGGCCATAAGCTGTAGTGGTAAAAATCTCACACTTACTTTATCCTATGCCACTAATTCATTTATACATTGGTGTAAAATAACAGCTTTTTTTTTTGGGGGGGGGGGGGGGGTGAGGATTTCTTTAAAAACTAATTAAGGGAATAGCGAGTTATTTATGTGAAAAAGGGAGTTAAGTATGTCTTAAGCTCAGTTCAACAGACTTGGCTTCAGCATAGCTTTTGTGCATAGGTAACTACGACGCAATAATAATAATGTGCCCCCAAAATACTTCTCCCTGTGAGCTTTGCCTCCCTGCTGCCCTTTTGCACAGGGGTGTGTATTCAGCTTGGGGGTGGAGGGCGGGCACAGGGATGCACGACCAGTCCCCTGGAGTGTCCCCTGCGAGGTGCGGTGGGGGATTTTCATGCCTTTGTTTTGCAAATCTTTGCAGGAAATTGATGTGGGAAGGTGCTTGGGCAGCTGCTCCTCGGGGGATCCCTGCTTGCTTAGGTAAGCACAGCTGGCAGGGGCTGGCCCCTCATGGGCACATCGCACACATCCCGGCCAGGTTGGAGCTGCCTCTGTTCCCTCTGCCCTCCAGCAATGCCCCAAGGGTCCCAGGGCAGGGCCTAAGGGGTAACACCGGGGCAGATTTGGGGTAGCACCTGCAGCTCACCCGTGTCTGATCATACAGGGACAAAGCTGAAACACAGCAGTGTTTGCAGCGAGGCTACAGCAGCTCTGTTGCTTCGAGGGATAAAGAATAACCTGCTGATGACAATGCTGAATTCAGCCGTCAGGCAGCTGGTTGTAGAGCTTGTGGTCCCCCACAATAGCAGAGAGAGATGGGGAGAAGATCCTGACAAAGGCCTTCCCTGGCCTGGAATGTGCCATTGCCGTTCCCTGCCTGTGATTCCTGCAGGGTGGAGGAAGGAGGAGGAGGAGAAGGAGAGGATGGGGAGGCTCAAACGGTTGTTTCAGGCCAGGAGGGCAGCACTTTGTGTTGCTTTCAGAGACAAAATGTGTCAAACGTGTAGGGAAATATGAATCAACCCAGAAAGAAAAAAAATCCTTGCTTTGCACAAGCAGAGAGGGAGGAGGCAGCCTGCTGAGCTATGCCAGAAATGAGGAACAGAGGCAGAGCCTCCCTGGTCCAGGCATCTCCCCTTTTCCAGGTGATGGAAGGCAGGAACCTGGGGCCTGAGGGGCGGGCGGGGAATGTACTTGGTTTGTCTCTAACTGCAGGGAGTCACAAGGGGGAGAGAAATGTCTGGCCTGGGCAGAGGTTGCCTCTCGCCGCTGTGCCCCTCACCGCTATGACGTACACATCTTCAGGAGCCATCGAGACCGCATTCGCACCGTCGTGGCCATCCAGCAGTGCAAGTGCAGGGGGTAGCGGGGCCGGGGACCCGCAGGTGGGGCTCCTGCAGGACCCCTGCCAGACTGTCTGTAGTATATGTAAATGAGAGAAGGCTATTTTATCAATGAAAGCTATTTTAAACAGTGTTTGCATAAATGAACCCTCCGCAAAATGTTTTGCAGCTTGTAAAATAAACATCATGGGCAATTCGCAGCTCCTCGGGGCTCCCTTGTGCAGCTCCCCGGCCCCTCGGTCTGCCCAAACATCCCGGGAGGATGCGGTGTGCGGAGGGATGGATGTGGCTGTCTGGCACTGGGGCCACACAGACAGGGCCGGCTGCTCCCATCCGCAAAATGTGGAGCAGGAGTCGGGTGGGAGAGGGAATCGGGGATGTGGGTGTGTTGGGATGGAGGTGTCCCCTTGGCAGGAAGCCCCGCAGTTAGTGAGCAGGGAAGGGAAAGGAAAGGAGCCACAGGATGGGAATAGTTTCCTTTGGTGGTTAACCCAAGCCTGTCACTGCCTCCCCGTGTGTTCTGGATAATTAACAGCCCTTTCACCATCAAAACGTGGGGTTAGGATAAATCACAGTTGCCAGCTGGCCAAGCAGCCTTTGGTTCGTCTCCTGGCGGCATTGGTCTGGAAGTGCTTCAGTCCTGCCAGCGGATGGACAGACACACGGACAGACAGGTCCAGCTCTGCTCCTGCACCTTCCACTCTGCACCAAGCTGCTCACAGAGCAAGTACCTGCGGGCCTCCTTCACAGGGATTTCCTGTGGGATTCACAGGTCACTATAAAACCTAACAGGCTTTTCTAATCCTGCTCCTTTTGTCTGGCTGGATGGCATTGTATAGTGCTAATTTTTCTGTTAAGTCATGTGCCATTAAAACAAACAGCAAATGTAAAGAGTCCAAGTGCACCGTGTCCGCGCGGTCACCTTTACCAACCTGGTTTCCCTCTGGGGAGGGAACACGAGCAAGGAATTGGCTTTTATCCCATCATCCTGAACCTGCAGGGTTCTCGTGGTATTTCAATAATATTGGGCACTGCAGAATTACCAGCAAATGCCTTTGAATCCTGGGGAAGGCAATTGGATGGACGGACACACACACACACACCACACACACCACCCTGCACGTTTAGCAGGGCGGAGGGATAGGGACACCTGCACGGCACCGAGCCCCCCTGCCATGCAGGGCAGCCGGAGCAGCTTGGGGACAGGAGGGGACACATGCAACAGCCCTGGCTGTTCCTCTCCCTCCTTGCTTCCCCACACAAAGCTTCTCCTGTTTGTCCCATTAGTGCCGTCATTAAAAACCAGTTAGTCTCCTAGGGAGAGCAAACGCAGCTTGGCCAGCCCTGCTGAGGGGCTGTGCAGCCGGGACCTGCGTCTCCCCGGAGCTGTGGTGCAGGGCTCCCCTCCTGCTTGTGTACTGGAGCTAATTGGTGGAGGGTGCCCAGGAGCCCAGCTTTGCACCTTGTTAGCATGGCAATTAGCTCTCTTTGCCTTCCTGATTGCTCATGTGCATATTTGACCCCAATCCATCTTTCCAGCGAGTTATAAATGCGGTGCTGGGGAGGCAGGGGGGGAATCGAGCCGGAGCTGGGACAGCAGAGCCATGCTGGGGACCGTGCTGCTGCTGCTGGTGCTGGCACGGCCGGCGTGCCCGAGCCCGGCCAGCGCAGCAAGCCGGCGAGCTGAGGCACTCAAGAGGCTGCTGGAAGTCTTTGGCATCGAAGACCCTCCGCCCCCCCCAGCTCACTTCAAGCAGCCGCCCCAGTACATGGTGGATCTGTTCAACACCGTGGCCAACGCCGATGGTGTCACCAAGAACCCCGATATCCTGGAGGGCAACACGGTCCGCAGCTTCTTGGATAAAAGTAAGGGGGGTGCCCCTGGGTGCTGGGGAGAGGGGGGCTGCGGGAGGGGGCTGAGCGCTGTTCCCCCACCCTCCCGTCTGGCTCCGCTTCCCAACCTGTTGCTCCCTGCAGCTCACGGCGAGAAGATGCGGTTCCTGTTCGTCCTCTCCAGCGTGGCCAAGAATGAAAAGATCTTGACAGCGGAGCTGCATCTCTTCCGCCTCTGGCCAAAAGCCACCGACGGGCCCAAACGGCACCACTTCTGCCAGGTGAGGAGGGGGACGGGGACAGGGTGGGGAGAGGGCCATGGGGGCACTCCCAGCCTGTGCTCAGGGATACCACAGGTGCTTTCTCTCCATTTCCCTCCTTTTTCCCCAGTACCCGTGCCAAGGGGGTTTTCCCTTCAGACCCATGGGTGCTCATTGCCCTTTGCCTCCTTCCCCAGGTCAGCATCTACCAAATTCTGGACAAGACTGAACCGGACTCCCCCCAGGGGCAGAAGCTGCTGGCATCCAGGCTCCTCTCACTGCAGGGCTCTGGCTGGGAGGTCTTTGCCATCACACAGGCTGTGAGTACTTTTACGCTGAGTTGGGTGGCACAGAGGAAAAAAACAAAACCAAAAACAACACAAGTGTTTTGCACGCTGCAGCTTCTTAAACCCATTTCAGTCCCATCTGGGCTTGCAATGCAAGTTGCTGTTCACCCTCTTAACAGCAACGCCAGGGCATGCAGCCTGCGGGGAGGGACGAGCTCTGGTGGATGGATCTGTCCTGGTATCGTGCTGCAGCTCTGCAGTTGTGGCCCCTGCTGCGTTCCCTGAGCCGCAGCCCGGGAGCAGCACAGCCCCTTCCCGTGGCTGCAGCTGCACTGCCTGTGGGGCACTGGGTGTCCTGGGGTGGCAGGGGGCACCCGTCACCTGCAGTGGGGACACTGCAGCAACGCCTGCCCCATCCCACAGCGGTGACGCTGGTTTTGCTTCTCCAGGTTCGCGACTGGACCGAAGATGAGAGTAGCAATCGGGGTTTGCTGGTGACAGTCCATGGCCTGGGCGGGAGCCCGCTCGACTCCCCTGCTGTACAGTTTGCGTCCAGCAGGGACCACCACGAGAGCAAGAAGCCCATGCTGGTCCTGTTCACCGATGACGGGCGCCGGGGAGCGTCCCTGCCCACGGCTGACTTCCCAGGTAGGTGCTGCAGTCCCCAGCACAGCTCGGTGCCACGATACCTCGCCTGCAGGGTGCTCGGGCTGCTCCTGTTCTCATCGGGTTAGCCTGAACACGGGTGTGGGCTTACAGATGTAAATTTGGGTTTTGCTCTCATTGATCAGCTCCATGGTGGTGGCCGTCTGACCTAAGGGCAGCTGCAGACAGCGGGCATGGAGGGGTGGCCAGGGCTGCTGCTCTGCTTCCTCCTTCATTTCAGGCTCATGCACTCGTGCTAATGGAATCATTTTCTCGTTTGGGGTAGATTTACAGCCTCAGGACCCTGTTCTTCCTGCCAAGATGACAGTGCCCAAGCTGAACGGGCCACGCAGCACACGCTCACTGGACCGGCTCCAGCCCTGCCAGAGGCACCCCTTGTCCGTGGACTTCGAGGAGATCGGCTGGTCCGGGTGGATCATCTCACCGCGGGGCTACAACGCCTACCACTGCAAAGGCTCCTGCCCCTTCCCGCTGGGCGAGAACATGCGGCCAACCAACCACGCCACCGTGCAGTCCATCATCAATGCCCTCAAGCTGAGTGAGGGGGTCAGCAGCCCCTGCTGCGTGCCGGACAAACTCCACTCCATCAACCTCCTCTACTTCGACGACGATGAGAACGTGGTCCTCAAGCAGTACGACGACATGGTGGCTGGGAGCTGCGGCTGCCACTGAGGCAGGAGGAGCAAGTGGAGGCTGCTGCTGCTCCCTCTGGGAGCACCGGGAGGCGATGTGGAAATTTCCTCCTGCAGAGGAATCTCTCTGCGAGGGTCTGTCCTGCAAAATCCCGCAGCGGTACCAAAGAGACTGGGCAGAGCAGAGCAAGGAGGTGCCCGGCTCTGCCCAGGAGGGCTCAGGGCTGAACTGAATCGAGCCAAATGAGCCCACGGAGCTGGCAGCCCCGGGGGAGCGGCTCTGTGTCAGGGTGCCCCACGCAGGGTGTGCAGGTTTCCGTGCCTGCAAAGGCTTCCTGCAGGCTGTACTATATGTAAATAGCAAGAGCACTAATATATGACAGAAACTGCCTGTACAGTGGCCTGTAAATGTCTGTACATTGCTGCGTTTTGTAAAATGAAGTCAGAGGAGCTATTAAACGTGCTGTTCTCAGCGGGGTTTCTTCTGTGACCACTGCTTGTGACAATGCTGGCCGAGGGACAGCAAACACCCCGTGGGGCAGCAGGAGCAGAGAAACGACGATTCAGCTGCAGCTCAGCCTCTGGGGCAGTTTTGGTTGCTGATTTCTGTTCCTTGGCCGTGTTTCCCAGCCCAATGCCTTCAGGATCTGTGGTGGGGGGATCCGTGGGGAGCAGGGGTGGGTGCTGGGGCTCAGGGCAGCTGCAGGCGTGCCCATCCTGCCTCTTTCCAACAGTTTCACTGCAGCATTCACTTAACCAGGGCCCCAGACACCAGCAGCCCACCCCCAGCACCTCCAAGCTCAGCTTGCCAGTGACCAAGTCCCACCCCAGCTGGTAGGCACCAGTTTCCTCCCCGCTGCTCACCCAAAAGCACCCATGGCTGGTGGCATTTCCCTGCCACCACCTGCTCCCAGCACCCACCCAGGGTCCCTCTCCCCATCCCTCTTGGGAAGGAGGGGGGGGGGATCCTCCCCCATGAGCCCATCGGGACGTGCTCACACACCCGAAACCAACTTGCAGCCAGGCTCACCTCCTCCCACCCATGGGCAGGAGAAGGGGTTGTGAGCCCCCGGGGAGATGTCCACTCCTTGCCAATTGCCTCAGTGGGACAAGGCAAAGCCCTGCTGCCCCGGCCGTGCACTCCGAGCAGCACAAGGCAGTTTCTGTATGGTCATAGATCGGTGCCACACTTCAAGGGAACAGCAAAGCACCTCCTCAGACATAGCGGTGTGCTGAAAAGTGGGGGTGATTCAGCTCACCACTCACCCCTCAGCACGAGCCGTTCACTCATTAACACAAAGTGGCTGCCCGATGAACCGTTCTGCTCTGGTTTATTGAAGGTCTGTTCCCGGGGATGCTCTGGCTGCCACCTCTGCACCCCAGCGTGGCCAGCACCCGCGGCTCCCAGCCCAGCAGCACCCCGAGCCCTCTCTGTGCCCCTGTGGCACCGCTGGGCACTGGAAAGGGAATTGGGCTCGGTGGGAAGGACACTGGGAAGCGCGGGGTCAGCGGTGGCAGCGGGGCTCAGCTCTGCAGCACTCGGACAGCTTCCGCAGAGCTCGCTCCTTGAAGCGGAACCTCCTGGAGAGCTTGAGGGAGAGGCTGGTCTCGTTCTCGTGGGCCTTCAGCTTGGCGTAGTAGTCAGAAAACTTGTTGTAGAGGATGGAGATGGGCATGCCGTTGAGGATGATGCCAAAGGAGATGCAGCCAAACGCCACCACCCTGCCAAGCACCGTGTCGGGCACGGTGTCTCCATAGCCCACAGTGGAGAGGCTGACCTGGGAGAGGAATAGAAAGGAGCAACGCTACGTGCCGTGCAGGTTCCACCTGGCGATGAGGGGACCCACCTTGCTCTTCCCCTGTGCAGAATCACCTGGGAACTGCTCTGCACCACGTCTGCAGCCAGCTCAGCTCTCTCTGCTCCAGCAGCCTGCATGGCCACAGCCTGGGGCCATCAGCCCACCCGTGCACCAGCTCCAGCACAGACTGAGGCACCCTCATGGCAAAGCCAGCTGTGGGCTCTCCCCCTGCCCTGCTCCTCCACCTCTCCCCGACCCACACAGGGCTCTCTCCCTGCAGCTGGGGATGGTTTGGTGCAGGCTGCCATGGGCTGGGGCAGGAGCTGGTGTTTGAGCTTGGGTTTGCTTGGGAAAAGGAGCCTATGGGCTGCGGGGACGAGGGAAGGGATGACACCCTACCGGCCCTGCTCTGTGCTGACAACTACGTGCAGCAAGGATCTGGGGGATTCCCTTCCCCCAACCTCCTTGGGGACAGCTGCAGACCAGGGCAGGGAAACAGCCCCAAGCGTCCATGAACCGGTGCCTGGTTCAGAAACCTGTTGCCTCCTCCTGCAGCTGCAGAGATGAGAGGCGAGCTTCCCTGCTCCCTCCTCCCCTTGCTCCCTCCTCCATCTCTTCCAAAGCAGCAGGACATCACCGAGCTGAACTTTCTCAGCAGCCAGACTGTCTGTCGGAGCTTCCTGCCCCCAGGGAGCAGCAGCCTCGGCCCTTCCTGGCTGAAACCTGCCCAGTCCCACAGGGTCGAAGCTTCCCGGATGCTCCTTTCAAAGGAAATGCAGGCACTGCCCAGAGACACACCCCAGGGAGCCACATTTGGGCGAGGGGAGCAGAGCCATGGGCCACATCAAGAGCTGAGGCAGAAGGGTTTGGACTTCATGCAGAGAGATGCAGACCAGGGCTGGGAGCAGCCATTCAGGAACCTCCCAGCATTAAAAAACCCAGACGGGCTGATTTTGTTAAGAGGCACTTCCTCTGGGAGGAAAGAATTTGAAGGAGGCAGCCTGTGGTGGCCAAGGGGAATTATAACAGCAGAAGTGATCAGTGGGATCATTTTCTCTGTGGAGCAAAATCTCCTCACAGCCCCTGGCTCTCCAGTGCTTTAGCTGCTCCTCACCCCTGAGTTAATCCCAGTTTATTTTAGTGCTTGGCTCAGCAGAGCTGCTGGCTCTGCAGGCAGTGAACAAAGGTTCCTGTCCCCAGTGGCAGCACCCTACGGTCTGTGTCCCCTCTCTGCACACAAGCTGAGGATTTGCCACCGTGTCCCCCGGGTTCTCACGTGCAGCCCTGGGTCCCCCTCCTCAGCGCCACCAGCCCTGCCCCTGCGCGTCCCCTTGTGTCCTGTGAGCTGCTTTGCTGCACAGGCTGCGGGGATGAGTGGCTCTCCCTGTGCCCACAGAGCACGAACCGCAGCCACCCAGCTGCTTGGGTCCTGGCTGCCACTGCAGGGAATGCCCAGACTGAGCCACGTCCCCCTTGTCACCAATCCAGGCTACATTAGTGCAGGCTCTGTCCCAACAACCCGCTCTAGTGCTGACTTTGGAGCCTCTGAGATTAGTCCAAATCTCTGATTTCTTTCCTCAGAGCGTGCAGGGCTCTGCCTTGCCCATCACTACAAAGCAGTTGGGAAACCGGGGCCCTTTCCTGCATCCTGGGCAGCAGCGGTGCCGAATCCCCGGAGCACGAAGGCAGCCCCATCCCACAGAGCGACACCGCACCCCTCCCACACCTTACCCACACCTTACCGCTGCCCACCACCACGCGTAGGGGATGCTGGTGAAGTTGGTGCCTGGGACATCGTGTTCCACCGAGTGCATGAGAGCAGAGAAGGTGAAGACCCCCATGGCGATGAAGAGGAGGAGGCAGCAAACCTGCTGGTAGCACTGGCGCATGGTGAAGCCGAAAGCCCGCAGGCCGGTGGAGTGGCGTGCCAGCTTGAGGATGCGGAAGATCCTCATGAGCTTGATGAGCTTGAGGACCTTGCCCAGCTTGCTCACATTCTCCATCTGGTGCAGCTCCTCGTGGTAAAGGGTGTCTCCTTCGTCCAGATTCTCAAAGAGGATCTGGATGTAGAACGGCAGAATGGCCACCAGGTCCACGGCATTGAGCGCCGCCCGCAAAAACTTCTTGAAGCTGGAGGAGGAGATGAGCCGCATGAGGTACTCGGAAGTGAAGAAGATGGCGCAGACCATCTCCAGCAGCTCCATCCACTGCTTCGCTGTCTTGTGCTGCATCTCCTCCACCGTGCTCAGGGTCATGCCCACAATGGAGATGAGCACAAAGAGGCTTGACATGACAGCAATGATCTTGGCTGGGACAGAAGAGTAAGGGTTCTCAATGAGGTTCCAGATCATCTTCCGAAACTGCCCCAAACATTTGCCCTCAAACTGCTCTGCTGATTCCAGAGGCTCCAGTTCTGCCTCCAGCTCCTTCTGTATTTTCAGGTTCTCGCTGAGTTCGTCTTGCTTTTCCTCAAACAGGATCCGGCAGCAGCGCTGGGAGTATTTCAGGTGGACTCCCCAGTACTCGATTTCCTCCACGAAGTTACTGGGGCACATCTCGTCCCTTATCCACAGGACCCCGCTGCGGTAGAAGTGGAAGATATAGTGGAAGATGGAAGGATCTCTGTCGAAGAAGTACTCGTTCTTCTGCACTGAGTAGTCATCGCAGAGCTGCAGCTTCTTCGTAGGGTCTGTGTAAATGGCCAGCTTCCCAAGCCTGGTGACGGGGTATCGGGCTGCCGCTTTGCAGGCTATGTGGAACAGCGTGCCGCCCACGTTAATGTTGAGGAAGTACTTGCTCCTCTGAAGGGGCATCTCGCTTTTCTCCTGGTTGCTGTCTGTCACGTTCTGCATGGAGCGCCACTGCTTTACCAGGCTCTCCTGTGCAAATGGGATGTGGACATCCTCCTCCTCCAGGGTCTGGCAGCAGCCGCGGCGATCCCCGATCTTCAGCCCTGCAGAAAGACTCACACGCCTCCTCTCCAGCTGCCTCATCGTGCCTGCCCCTCCGGAGCAGCGATTCCCGTTAGGGGCTGTGGGACAGCAGCTTCGGCTTCATGGGACCGCTGCCACCAGGCTCTGAGCTCAGGGGAGCAGCAGGGAGTTGCTGCCTGAGGGGCAGTGGCCGGGTCACGGCGCCACGTGGCACCTGCCAGGTTCCCAAAGCCGATTGCTTATCAGATTGTGGTTTGCGCCGTAGGAGCTGGAGGCAGCTAAGTGTCCGCTCCTTAAGACAATAAGGAGATTGAAGCATTAACCCTTTACGTAAGGAACTATTTATTGCACTTTTCTTTGTCCTTATTCTCCTCGTTAGTTTGTGTTCAGCACGTTACCCCATTTCCAAGTAGTGCATCCACTAGAGCGAGTCGAAGCGAGAGCACGAGCTTGCCTTGATCTGACCCCGAACGCCTCCCTTGCCAGGGGCGCAACGGTGCAGACGCATGAGATTCGTATCAGCTTTGTGTCCCCACAACAGATGCTGCTCTTGGCATCAGTCCTTCACCAAGCACGAGTGTCGATGCAGCTGCCCTTGCCCTGTCAGCTGTCACAGAAGCGAAACGGTCGCTACCTCCCAGCTCACCCCTCCACCCCCCCGTGCAGATTTCCAGAGGTGAGGGCACCGTCCAGCATCCAGGCAGTGCCCACGTGGCCCCCAGTGTGGCAAGCTGCTCCTGCACTGCTGCCCTGTGCCACTTGCTCATCACACCTCCCTTCAGCCCCATTATTCCATCAGCAGGAGGATGAACATGGAATGAGACAATGGAAGATAAAGTATGCGGTGAAAGGTTCCCCTAACCTTTAGGAACTGAAGGGAATAATCCTTTGGATTTAAAGGTAAATGGGAGGCAAAGTTAACAGGGGCAGGTCCATCCTTACGTCAGCCTGGCACACAACCCTACATCAGCACATGAAACTTGCCGTGCCCAGGAGTTGTGGTTGACAGCCCGATGTCCAGTGGTGAGCAGCTGCCCCGGCAGAAAGGGATGCCATCGAGGGACCTGGAGGGGCTGGAGAAGTGGGTGCACACAGAATATCCTGAGTTGGAAGGGACTCACAAGGATCTTCTGATCCAAATCCTGCCTTCACGCAGGACCACCAAAAAATCAAACTGTATTGCTGAGAGCGTTGTCCAAATGCTTCCTGAACTCCATGAACTTCAAGGGGGCCGAGTGCAAGGTGCTGCACCTGGGTCAGGCCAATCCCAAACATCAGCAAAAATCATCCCAGCCATCACGGCTGACGAACGGATGGCGAGCAGCCCGTGGAGGACTTGAGGGGACTGCTGGATAAAAAATGCAACACGAGCCAGCAGTGTGTGCCTGCAGCCCAGAAAGCCAACCGTATCCTGGGCTGCATCAAAAGCAGCGTGGACAGCAGGGCAAGTGAATTCAAAATGCAGAGACCCAAAGCACAAAGCTGCTATCAGGCTGAAGGGCAGCTCAGAAGCCACAACTGAAGTCTTTGAGCCTGGAGATTAGGGCAATAAAAAAGCTTCTGGCATGGGACAGAGGAAGGGAAATGACTGTCTGAGACGTGCTCCAAGTTTTTGAACAAGGCTCACAAACACAGGCTTTTGTCCAAGCTTGAAACATGCAGAGAAAAGTAAGCAGAGCCTGGGAGACCTCACAGTGGGAAGAGGCCACTCCTCTGAAGCTCACACACCAGCCTCGCTCCCCATGGCACACTGCGAGCGGCTCTGCCCAGCCTAACGGGACAGCCTCAGCTCAACAGCTCACGCTAAAAGGATGATCGGGGACAGGCTGGTGACAGCTGACCCCTGCCACATGGCCCTGCCACCACAAGCCAGGCAGCTATTGCAGGACCAGCCCTCCCTCAGCCCTGTCCTGCTGGGGTTTCTGAAGCACCTTCCTGCTCTGATGGAAAAGGAACAAGCTGATGCAGTCTTGATTTCCCACCTTACCCTTGTCCAAGCCTCTCCTTTGGCACCTGTTCTGCAGTAGCGCCCCAGTGCAAGTGCCAGCTGTGTTTCCCACGTCCACCCACTCCATTCTCTCTCCTCCAGGCCTGTATTTCACATTCCCAGTACAGGTGGTGTGTGTTGCAGTCTCCTTGGGGCCATGCAGACTTGGCAGCACCTGCCTCCCCTGTCTGCCCACGCCAATCCACTCTCCCCCTGCCCTCTTTCCCAGGACACGACAATTCAGAACTGATACAGGTCCCAGTCTCCTAATTACAGAATTTGAACAAACCCGAGAAAAAAAACACACACACACACACAAAAACCAACAACACAAGTTGAGATGTCATTACAGTTTCAAGTTCTTTATTTTCCTGTGTCATTCACCAACAGCTATCTCCAATTGTCCCTATGGAAACAGAGACAAGGTTGTGTGTCCCCTTGCAAGTGACCTCTTGGTACTAAAAATAACCATTCTGGCATAGCCCAGTGCTCCACTACCTCATATAGCAGTTTCTCACATGAGTTACAGCTACACGCTTGCACACTACCCAAGAGCAAGCCCTAAGGCTGATGACGAGAGTTTGCGTGGGAAGCCAGGTTCTCACCTCAAGGCACAGAATGCAACAGACAAGACAGCAGCTTTTTGTCTTTTACACACATTAAACACTTGTGCAAGAAATACATGAGAAAGGTGCTGAGTTAGAGGCACTGGTCAGTTATCTCTGATACTGTCAGTTCTCAAAAGTGCACACTGAGCCAGTCACAAACAGTTGTGCGTGCCACAAAGCAGAGGCAACAGCATTTGACCCAAGACACCAGTTATTTCAAGCTGAAAACAAAAGACACCAGACACTCAGAACCTCCAGCAAAAGAGGCCTACAGATGACAGCTCTAACATTAGAGAAACAACGTTCAGAACTCAGCACTGGGGTGAAGGTGCTGCTCTGCAGGGGGCGAGATCCTTGCTGACAGGGAGTGTGCTGAGGTGCTGCCTGCCCCGTGCTGTCTGGGGGTGACGCAGGGCTCAGGTAGACAGGAAGATTTTCAGCTTTCATCCCTGCAGTTGGACAGTGCGTTGGGTTGAGCAGCATCGAAACACCAGTGTGAACACAGAGTGCACATCTGAGCTGTGCGGATTCAGTGAGCTCCTACTCAAAAGGCGTGAGAAAACTTCCACTCCCCAACACCTGACAAAATCCAGGCAGAAGAAGGGGGCAGGCAACAAAAGGCTCTTGTTTGGAAGTGGAAGAAAACAGTAGCACCTGGCACTGCACCTCCAGTCTCAAGGAGAATAAAGTCTTTGGGTCCAAGGCCACGCTGATGTGAAGCCGTGTTAACAATCCTTGTAGGCAAGAACAATGAGGGAATTTGTCACCTTAATGAGGGGTGATTGCACGGCACCAGGGAAGGTCCTGTTCAATTTCCAGTGCAAAAGTAGTTGCATAACCTCAGACCCATTTCCAAGGAGAGCGTGCTAGCGTAATAACAAACCAGATTGGAGAGCTTAATGTGTAAGTTCAGTCAGCTTCTGTCATGAGTGAGAGGGAAATGAACTTAGTCCCATCTTATCGCTTCGCAGCAAAAGATCCCTGTTACAGGAAAAGAAACACCTGGTTATTGCAGTCCTTTCGCCCAGAAATCCAGTGTTACTTCAGTTTGTATGGAGTGGAAGAAGAAAACCCACAATAGAGTATTAGTATCTTTGCATGAGTGCTACTGAAAGGAGCCAGCATTTTCTCAGATTCGGTTGTGCAATGACCCCTGCAGTCAAACAGGAGTCCTCATGCCTGGTTGTGAGGAAAGAGGGGATGGGGAGAGTTCTGCTGCTTCAGGGCAAATAAAGCCCGAGCATGTGGCTGACCAGCAGCAGGGAGAACTGGGAAGGGCTACCCCAGAGAGGGAAGCTCTAGAGGGCAAGGTGGCATTTCTCCCTTACACACAGCGCATGTGGGGTGCAAGGAACATACCTTCCAGGAAAATAAGCCTGCCTGGCTCTTGTCAGATATCAACTGCTCCTCAGTTGATGCTTCTTCAAGACTGAAGATGTCAGACCTGCTTTTTGCTTTGGACTGGGCCCATGCAACGATACCACCCACAGCTACCAGGCAGCTCAGGAGCACTAAAGAGAAGAGTGCACAAGCAGAGAACCACTCACTGCACCTGGTGTGGACATCAGCACCAGGCTCTGATGCTCAACAATCAGAGATCAGCATCTTCCTCAAGGATAATGGACAGCCAGCAGGAAGTGTTAGTGCCAGACCGCATGAAACAAGATGCCTTTCCAAGGGGAAGGCACAGTTTGTCCAAGTCAGAGCTCCAGAAGTGCTCAAGCCATGGTGTACAGCCTTCCCTAAGCCTCCAAGCCCAGAGAACACAGCTACTGATGCTGGTCTGGAATAAATGTCATTAGAAAAGTCAGTTATAGCCTAACCCAGAGCCAAAACCACGTGCGGCACTTTAAGCCTCACATACCTGCAATAATCAACACCCACGTGCAGCCTTGACTCCTTGATGGCAGAGTGTGCCCAGGCACAGGGGTAGTTGAAGCCTCTGTGATGAAAAAAACAAGTCCATCAGGTTTCCTTAAGAAATTCACCTTAAGATCAGCGTTCAGAGCAGCCTCCAGTCCAAACCTGACTGAGCTCCCAGTTTACCCTATGTGTGCCAACAGGTTCGTATTGCTTGAAGCAAAGCCTTATCTCCTGTTACTATGATTAGTCCACACAATAGGAGAAAGCTAGGAGATTTTCCTCACTCCTCTTAGACATGTTAGGGTAAGAGGACAGAAGGCCAATAAAGAAAGCAACCAGTGTTGGTGGACGAGAAGTTCAACATGAGCCAGCAACGTGTGCCTGCAGCCCAGAAAGCCAACCATATCCTGGGATGCATCAAAAGCAGCATGGCCAGTAGGGCAAGGGAGGGGACTGACCCCCTCTACTCTGCTCTTGTGAGACCCAACCTGGAGCCCTGTGTTCAGCTCTGGGGGCCCCAGCACAAGAAGGACGGGGACGTATTAGAGCGAGTCCAGAGGAAGGCCTCCAAGACGGGTAAGGGGCTGGAGCAGCTCTGCTACGAGGACAGGTTGAGGGAGCTGGGGGTGTTCAGCCTGGAGAAAAAAAAGCTCTGGAGAGAACTTACAGTGGCCTGCCAGCATCAGGCATCACGTACCCCCAGCACCTAAGCTGTGGATGCCCCATCAATGGAAGCATTCAAGGCCAGGCTGGATGGGGCTCTGAGCAACCTAATTTAGGAGGAGGTGCCCCTGCCCATGGCCGGGGTTGGAACCAGGGGGTCTTTAAGGTCCCTTCCAACCCAAACCATTCTGTGATTCTCTGCCTTCCCTCAGCACAGCCTCGTGGCAGCAGCTGGTCACATCCAGAGCCACATCCTGAGGAAGAAACCTCTCCAGAGGCGCTTCCCGAGGGAGCCCTGGGGTGCTGAGCGCCAGCTGCCGGGAAGGAAGCTGGGGGGGCTCCCTCCGCCCCAAACACAAACAGCAGCCGGGGCCCACTGCCATGACCGGGATAACCCCGGAGGGGCCAACACCCCCCGGCCCTGTCCCGGCCCAGCCCCTCCTCACCTGTGCCGCCGACCCCGGGCCCCGCCGGGCTCCCGCTGGCCTCACAGCCCCGCTCGTCGCGCTCGTCCATGCAGTCGGGGTGGCCGTCACAGATCCACTCTCGGGGGAAGCACTCCCCGTGCGGCTCCTCGCAGCGGAACTGCCCCGGGCCGCAGCCCGAGGGGCCAGGGCTGGGGCTGGGGCTGAGGGGAGCCGCCAGAGCCCAGCCGGCCCCAGCCCCGGCCCCGTCCCCCCCTGAGGCGAGGCCCCCGCAGCCCGCGCACCTGAGCCGCCGGCGGCGCCAGCCAATGAGAGCCGAGGGCGTGCGCGGGGAGCGGGCGGCGGGAGCCAATGGGGAGGAGGGGAGCGAGGCGCGGCTGGGCCCCGCCCGCCCGCTCCCGCTGCTCCCGGGCAGCAGCTGCAGCGCGAGCAGCAGGAGCAGTGCAAGCAGCAGCCGCGCCATGCCGCTGCCACCGCTGCAAGCAGAGCCCGCCGCTGCTGCCACGCGCCTATAAAGCGGGCCGCGTGCGCCCCCACGGCGCATGCGCGCAGCCTCCGCCCCCTCCGCGGCGGCAGTGGCGCGCGACCTTCAGGCGGCCCCGCCCCCCTCAGCGGCCCCTCAGTGCCCGCCTCAGCGGACAAGGGGGAGGTGGGGGGGGCTCCGCCCGTCAGCGCCTCAGCGCCCTGAGGGCTGTTTCCTCCCGACCTCTGATCTAAATCTCGCCTCTTTTAGCCTAAAGGCGTTCAACCTTGCCCTATCGCTATCTCCCAAAAAAGTTCTCTCTATCTTTTCATCTTTTCACCTCACGTTCAGGTTTCATGAGGTCCTCATGGGCTTTTCACAAAGTTTCCAGGTCCCTCTGGCTGCCATCCCTTCCTTCTGCTCTGTCAGCCGCGCCACTCAGCTCGGTGCCACCTGCAAACTTGCTGAGGGTGAATTTGATCCCTTTATCTGTGTCACTGTTATAGATATTAAACAGCCCCAGTCCCGGGACAGACCCCTGAGGGACACCGCTCATCACCGGCCTCCACCTGGACACAGAGCCATCGACCACTCGCTGGGTGAGACCTTCAAGCCAGTATCTACTGAATGGTCCACCCTTCAAAACCACCTCTCTCCAATTTGGAAATCAGGATGCCATGTCAAAGACCTTACAGAAGTCCAAGGGGGATGACATCGGTCAGTCTTCCCTTGTCAACTGTATGATTTTTTAAGCTGTTGGCTGGTCCTGTCAAGACAGTGGGATACAACTAACGCGTTCAGATAACTGACTTTGCAAAGACTCAGCCTAATCCTGTCAGCAATCTTCCAGCATCTTTGAGCAGCGGCAGGAAAAATCAATATACTTGCTGTAGAATAATCAGCAGAGCTCATGGCAACATGTTGTGGTTTAACCTTCTAACTGAAACCAGGACACAACACCACAGCACAAGCCTGGCAAATCAGCTGTCCCTGGGTAAGGGCAGGACCTGGGTGCTCTGTGGCTGAAATGTGTGTCATTGCAGCAGGGCAGGCGGAGCAGGGGACCGGGTGCTTGTTGCACGAGCCAGAAATGATCTTCGCTGCTGACTGACTGGTAACAACTGGCCTGGGAAGTGAGAGTAAGCAGCTGGATTCCTTTGAACCAACACACACAAAGTATCACAAAGAGCTTGGCATGCTACAAGGCCAATCTTTAGACCAAAATTTGTATAAACCATTTCTCACAGATCATAGCCTTAAGGGAGGCAGGATGAATTGATGGAGGCTAAATCCATCCTGAAGATGACTGAGGCAGACAGGAACCAAACAGTGCCATCAACTGGTTAATGTTTCTTACCAGAAAATAAAATCATCAGGTCCTTTGCAGCTACAGCCATGCTTTGTTCAGCTCTGACCTTCAGTGATATTCCAGCTGTGCTTCTGGGTCTCATCTTGGAGCAGTTGAGGCCACAGACAGCAGATAAATCCACTAAGCCCAAGCTCCATTTGTATACTATCTTACTATTCCCTCAAAAAACTTTACATCCAAAGTTAAAATAATTTGAACGATTCAAACAGGACAGGTAAAATGGGAAGATAATTACAACTTTAAATGCATTTATTAGTCATACATCAGCAAAACTTAATATATGTGGATAAGTTCCACCCAGCATCATTGCACCTAAATCCACTGCAGCCTTACCCATCAGAGTACTGCTTTTTCATGAACCAACATCTGTACATCCAGCCTTATTAATTTCTCACAAATAGGGCTGGTCTTTTGAGATTTCCCACTTCTTAATTGGTGGCCCTGGTGTCACTGGCTTTTTCTCAGTTGTTGTCACTGCAGTGCCCGAACTGGGATGGAAAAAGGAAGAGAGAAGAAGAAGTTTTAACAGTGCTCAGACTAAATTGAGTGTTGCTTTTTTAATGCCAAAAGTCATTAAATTACCAGACAACTCATTTATTTATTCAAGAGAAGACAAGTACAAAGAATTAGCTCAGCCTTCTTCTAATCTATAAGTCAATAGTGCTTATTGAAAGAATTCCATATTTTTGGCACAAACCACACAAGGCTCAAACCTGCTCACGCTGAGCAGTGTCAGGAGCAGAGCTGCAGGACAGACCAGGTCAGACCTACCTGCTGGCCTGAGCCCCTGCAGCGAGGGTTTTCTGCGTCGACGCAACCACAATAGGAGGGAAAGTCTCTCGGCGCCCATCCCGCGTGCAGTAATAGTTATTTGCAAACTTGTGGCTGGGACCCACCGGGAGCCGAGGTGGCGGCTGGGATCTGGAGGGGAAAAGTTTAAGGACTTCAACACGTCAGTGGGTGCCTGGGGGGCTCTGCACTATGCAACACAAGCACTGTGGTACTGCATACGGGTCGGGCAGGGGCTGCGAGGTGCCCAGAACAGCCAGGAGGCCTGATATGAACACGTTACCCACACATGTTGTTACCCACACATGTTGTTACCAAGCAATGCCCTGGGCACTCTGACCGGGTGGGCAGCATCCCAGGTGGCTGGGGCCGGCTGGCCTGAGGTCCCTGCAGCCCCTGTGGCCATACAGAGCGGCCCCCTCGGCCCCCTCAGCCCTCCGGTGCCCGCGCAGAGCCCCCTCCCCTCAGGGTTCAGCACCGCAGCACCCCCGGTACCTCTTGGAGATCTCCGTGTAGCGCAGCTGCAGCTTGGCCTGGAGGTCCCGCTGCAAGGCAAGACGACAGCGTCTCAGGGGATGAAGGCGGCGGCCACCCCCAGCCCCCCCGGCCCTGAGGCCGCCCTCACCCCCGCCGCGAAGTTGCGGAGCCGCTGGATGATGCGTGTGGCCGTCGCCATCTTGGCCGCTGTGAAGGGCAGGGCAGGGCGGGGCGGGGCGGGGCGGGGCGGGGCGGGGCGCGCGGGGCACGCCGGGTCTCGCGAGACTTGGAGGCTATATAAGGCGGAGCGGGAGCGGCACCGCCCCCTTCCTGTCCCGCGGAGCCGCCATGGACACGAGCCGCGTGCAGCCCATCAAGCTGGCCAGGGTGCGGGGCGGGTGTGGGACGGGGCTGGGCTGTGGGTTTGGGGCCAGGGCCGTGGGCTGACGCCGTGCTCTCTGCCCGCAGGTGACCAAGGTGCTGGGCCGGACCGGCTCCCAGGGGCAGTGCACGCAGGTGAGTGGGCCCGGCCGGGTGGCGGTGCCGCCGCTAGGCCGCGCCGGGCCGTGCTGAGGCCGCTCCGTGCCGCAGGTGCGCGTGGAGTTCATGGACGACACGAGCCGCTCCATCATCCGCAACGTGAAGGGCCCGGTGCGAGAGGGAGATGTCCTCACCCTGCTGGAGTCCGAGCGTGAGGCCCGAAGGCTGCGCTGAGCCGGTGGGTGCCCCCCTCCCCTGTATTGAGCTGGTAGGTGCCCTGTTCCCCTCGGCACTGCCCGGCCCTGCTGCCCCCCAAGTGGCAGAGGGAGGATGCTGTGCCCCCGGGCAGACACAGGTTCTGCTGTTCCTTTTCAGGTGCTGAAGACTTGTCCCATGTACTCAGAGCCACCAGCATGCATCATCTCAGCTGGACGTGGGGCACAGATGGAGAGGAGCGTGGAGTTTGTGTTGTTCACACAATAAAGGTTTTTTTTTTCCAGTACTCCTTTGTCCAGGACTCACTGAGTGTGTGAATGTTCTGGGTTGTCTTGGTGGGCACGCACATTCCTTTTGTTGTTGGGCTCGGTCTGACAAAACCACACCCTGCTTATGACTGGGGCTACGTGTTTGGCCTTCCTCTTGACATATCTGTGTTCTTGTGTTTTTGTTAACTTGTCATTTGCAGCAAAAATAACTTATTGTTTTGATTACAGCAGTGTTAATTCTGACAAGTGTTTCTCTATGTGTCACCAGCAGAGTGGCACTGGTACACCTGATGGACTTCTGTGGAGTCTGATAAGTCAAAAGTCAAACTTTGTACCAGTTTGAAAAGTGGCTGCCTGCTGCTTCTGTTTTTCTGACCTCAGTAAGCTATTCTATAAATGCTACTATAAATATAACTGCTTGCTGTCTTTCCTGGCAGTCGCCCACGAAGAGCACTCATCTCTCTCCCCTTAGAGGAGTTGGTAAATCAATCTCACTCACTTTCTTCTCAGCTTTCCCTTCCACCACAAGATAGCTAGAAGAGTTATTTTAGGCTACTACATAAATGTAGAGATAAGCCTGAAAGGATTTGGAATCAGTCTGAGAAATGTCACAGTTTAGGAGGTGGTTTTTAAGCACTTTGCCCCTGTGGCAAACTCTTATTTTCTACCAAGTGAGAGCGATGCTGTTTTGTGATGTTTGAACTAAGCCAGGTCTGTGGCTCCCAGTGCCGTGCTCACCATCATGCAGTGTCCCTCCCATGGGGACTGTGCCTCCTCTGATGTTCTGGACCTTATTAAGGCACTTCAGTAACAAGTGGGAATGAAGGCTTGGGAATCCCAAAGCTCAGGAGAGCACTTAAGGAATTGAATGTTCAAATTGCTGAACTTAGGCAGTTAGCGAGGGTTGTTCAAGGCTGGCATTGAAGGAGCATTTGTAATTTTTTTTCCTTCCTGCAAGTGGCAGCTGTGCCCTGGTCCAGGCCTGTGATTTTTATGGTCTGGAGAAGGCAGTCGTTGGGGACATGCTTGTGTTGTTGCTTGACCCAGCTCTTGATTCCTTTGTGGTGTTGCTTTAGTTTCAGAGCATAGGGTACACCTCTTACCCTGGTTCTGGTGACAGAGCCCTCAGTTCTGAGTGCAAGGAGAAGCCCAGCCTGGCGTTTACTTCTCTGCCTGCTGTTTTCTCCCAGCACAGCTTAGGCAGTGACCAGGGAGCCTTTGTGCTCTGGACAGGGGGCAGTGCAGGCCAGACGTGAGCAAGGTGTGAGGCATCAGCTGTGAATGAGCGGCAGCTGGGGGTGAATTTGTAGTGAGGCGGCTTGGAGCAGCTGTTGCCCTTCCCAGCTGTCCCTGTGTGGTCGGTGTACCCTCAGCCATGTGTGAGGGAGGTCACCCTGCATCCCTGCTGCTGGATGATTGCTCTCTAACAAAGCTGAACAGCATCAACACCAGGGCAAACCAAAGAGAATGAAGGGGGTCCAGTGCCTAGCTTGGTCCCATGAAGTGAAATGGGCCAGAAAGTGCCACCTCATGGTACCTAAATCCAGTTCCTAGCTCTGGAGCAGTTCAGCTGGAAGAAAACAAGACTGATGGATTTAACCAATTCATAAACGTGTAGGGAATGGGTTGAAATGCTGGTGAGTGCTCAGGGCCAGGGCTGTGCCCAGGCTGTCCCTCTGCCGAAGCTGTTCTGGGGGTTTTAGCTTGACTCAAACAAGGAGGCAGGAGACTGCAGGTGGTCATTGTAATATTTCAAAATAATTTTACTTGAAGTTTTATTTATCTTAAAAATAAACATCAATATTAAAATGTCAGTAAACAAACCTGTGAAAACCAAAGCAGTGAGTATGGAATACATACAGAGCAGCGCAAAGAGAGTGGCTGTGAGCATCTTGTGTTAACTTCAGTGCAAAGCTGAAAAAGGGCGAGGACAGCGGCACGTTGCCCAAAGGTTTCTTGGGGAGCATTTCCCAGTGGAGAGAATGGCTCAGACAAGGCCTGCGTGGTGTGAAAGTGAGGGAGGATGAGCTGAGGAGTAGGAGGAGCTGCGACAGGGGTCACCTTTGTGAAGGAGTCAGAGCGCAGCCTGCTTCACATGCAAAAACCTTTTTTTTTTGTTTTGTTTTGTTTTCTCCCAGTCCTTAAAGCTTACCTTGTCTGTTCCCACCCTGCCTGGCACACACACACACACACACACACGTGCTCTGACATACGCGTCCATCTCCGCAGGCCCTAAGCTTTCTCCCTCTGAGCTCTTCTTGCTGATCTCTTTTCCTGGAGCTATCCTCAGCCACCCTCCCCTTGGGGAAGGGAAGAAAGGGACTTGTGAAGGCAACTCGAGCCCCTGAGCTGCCAGTAGCTGTGGGACTGTTAAAAGGGGAAGTGTTTATAAGGTGATTTTTATCTTTCCTTCTGGATCCTGTGGGGCAGCAGCTGGGCAGACCCAGTCCCTAAACAGTTGAGGCTCTCAGTCCCCTTCTCTCAGCCTGGCTGCGGCCCCAAGCATCCAGAAGCTTTGCTCCCATTGAGCAAATCAAATCGTTGAGTGATTTCATGGTGAACTCCAGCTTTTTTGACAACGCACTGTATTTTTTTTTCCTTTGTGTGCATGTGCTAGAGAAGATTCAGGTTTCTGCTGGGCAATGAAATGCCAGAGAAGATGAGCACATATTTCAGTCTGGAAATGCTCCCGTGGCAGCGTGAGCCAGCTGCTCGGTGTCCCCTGCTGTCACTGCTGATGCTTGCCCTCCTGCAGCCCTGCTCCCCATCACTGGCTCTGCTGCCCTCCTGCAGTTGCTGGGAGCTGGCAATAGGAGCAGAAACCAGCTGCTGTTTCTGCTGGCTTGCTTTTTTGCTGTTCCAGTGAGCTGGGGCCTTGCAGCAAGGTGGCACAGCTCCAGTGATGGTGGCTGGCAGTGGAGGTCACTTGATGCTTGGCTCCTCTGTCCCTGGGAGCGAGGTGGGCACCGTGGGACGCTTCCTGCAGCAGGCAGGGCGAGCGAGGCCCAGGGACAGCGCCTGCTCTATCGCCAGGAGGATGAAAACATCTTCAGCCTCGGGGAGCAATTCGGCACACGAAGGAGCAGCAGGAGGGGGGTGACATAAATTACAGCCCAGCACTGACGGCCAGCTGGCACATGGCTGGATCCAAAGCTCATTCTAATTTGGTTTCTTTGGGTTCCCGGGGCTCTTGGTGCCCACTGTTGATGTCCCCTGCTGTGGAGAGGGAAGAGTCACCAAATATCACCAGAGACCATCCAGGGGCTCCTGGTGATGGCCAGCCAGGCTGGGCCCTTGCCACCGAGGATGCGCTGAGCATTTGGCACCCGGGATGCTCTGCTCTTGCCTCCACAACCCCTTCCTTGGGGACCCTCAGCTGCTCTCATCTGTTCCCCTGCCCACCATGGAGCCGAGTCAGTGGCACGGTGCCCCCTCTGCGCCCCTTGCATGGGACAGAGTGGGTGGCAGGGGCTGGGGGGCTGCAGTACTCACGTGTGGCTGCGCCTTTGTCCCATTCAGGTGGGCGTAGAGCAGCACGGCGATGTTGCTGTGGCCGGCCTCCAGCGCGATGGCGACGGCGTTGTTACCATCCTAAGGAGGGCAGGAGAGCGGTCGGGAAGAGCTTTGGGACTGGGAGCAGGGGGAGCACACCTGGACCCCAGCTCCTTACGCTGTCCACGATGGAGATGTTGCAGGCGGGCTGAGCCAGCAGCAGCTTCACCGTCTCCACGCGGCCGTGCTCGCAGGCGCACATCAGCGCGGTCGAGCCCTCCTCGTCCTGCAGGTTCACGTCCGCCCCGCAGGCGAGCAGGGCTTCCACCATCTCCTGCCGTCCGTGGCTGACGGCCAGCATCAGCGCCGTCTGGCCGGCCTGCGTGACACAAGGGACGCTGCCAGGAAGGTTGTGGCACTCATCCCACTCATCCCGCTGCTGCCCCAGTGCCCACCGAGCACCAGCTTGCCCCGATGGAGCCCCGACACCCTCCCCGTGTACTGCCCCCACCAGGTCTGGGGTCCTGCCCTCGGGGTGGGCTCAGGAGGTGAGTACAGCTCTGTTCACTGCCCGCAAGGGGGTCAGGATGTGGTGGCCCCCATCCCACACCCACCTGGCTGGCCTTGGCGTTGACATTGCCCATGCTGAAGAGCCTCCTGACCACGGTCATGTCGTCCTCCTGCTCCACGGCTGCCAGCGCTGCCAGCATGAGCGCCGTGTAGCCGGCCTTGTTCTGGTGGTCCACGTTACAGACCCCTGTGGGGACGGGCAGAGCCGGGGGAGGCTCAGGGTGCTGCTCCCGGGGGGGAGGAAAAGGAGGGTGGTGGCATCCTGGCAGGGGGACATTTCTGGAGCTGTGGCAGACCTGAGGTCACCCACCCGTGTCCAGCAGCAGCTGCACGATGTGGAAGTTGGAGTGGGAGACGCTGTAGTGCAGGGCCGTGTTGCCGTTCCCGTCGGCCAGGTTCACCACGTGGGCCAGGAGGGCTGGCGAGAGCTCGGCGAAGGCCAGGAGGTGGTTGGCGACTGTGTCGGGGACGGAGGACTTCTGGCTGGACAGACGGAACCACTCCTGCAGGACCAGGCTGCTGCTGGCGAGCTGTGGGCAGCGAGCGGGGCTGAGCCTCTGCATGGCGCAAAGGCAGGACCCCAAAGCCCAGCCCGGTGCTGGGACGGCCCTGGCTCAGTCCATGGGGATTTGGGGGGTAATCTGGGACTTGTTTTGGGAAGAAAAGCATTGATCCGGGCTTCGCTGGCCCAGGGGTGCCCCCAGCTGCGGGGGGAGCCGCTGTCAGCCCAGCAGGAGCCGTGCCACCCGCAGCACCCAACTCACCACCTCCTTGCTCTTGGTGGCCCCGGGGTGGCCCAGGTGGGTCTTGACGATGAGGCAGGCCTCCCGCATCCTGGGGCTCAGCTCGAACCTGGGGGGAGCACGAGGGCAGTTGCAGCAAGGAATCCCCGGCCCCTCTGTCCCCCAGGCAAGGCCCCGAGGTTTTGCTCCTCTCCCCCATTCCTTGCACCCCC